GTGTGTAGGGGCGCGACTTCGACATAAGGGCGCGACTTTTGGCGGCCCGGAGGAGTGCCCGTGTGTAGGGGCGCGGCTTTGGTATAGGGCGCGACTTTTTGGCGGCCCGGAGGAGAGCCCGTGTGTAGGGGCGCGACTTTTTGATGGCTGGGGCGAGAGCCCGTGAACAGGGCACGGTTTATACGTGGCTCGGCTGGCGAAACAGTGGTAGGGTGCATATAGGGGCCCGATGGGTCGGCGCACTTGGAGCCCGGCGTTTTCACAACTTCGGCGAGACATCGCGTGTAGGGCGCGACTTTTGGCAACCCAGAGGCGTCCTCACATGAAGAGCATGTCTTTTTGTAATTTGGGTAATTAAGTGTGGTAGGGCGCGGTATTTTAGTAGTCTTACCCGATTTGGGTTGGCGAAGTATATTTGAGCAAACTCAGAATTATCAAACAGGTCTATCTAGTCTATGTGCCAAACATGATAGCTCATTTGATAATGCGTGGTCTAGATGATAGGGCACATAGTAGTGGTATGGTAAACCACCTTAGTGGGGCTCGGTCTAAGAAGGCCTGCCTTTATGGGCTCGGTCTAAGAGGGCCTGCCTTTATGGGCTCGGTCGAAGAGGGCCTGTCTTTCTGGGGCTCGGCCTTTCTATTTGTTGGGTTAGTGGTTCAACGTGAAAGCTTTATTAGTAGCGTAGCCCATAGGAGCTCTACCTAATGATCTTATGGGGCTCGGATTTGTGTGGGCCTAGCATAGTGTCCATGGGGCTCAGACAATTTAATGTGCGGATGTCAAGGCGTGGGGAACAAGCCAAGTGGCCATTAATAAATAGGTAAAGCCAGAGAAACAAGAGGTATGTCACAAAAACAAACCCTAAAATCTATACTGCGCCTTTCTTGTGACCATACTAACTTGAGCGTCGGAGGTCTACCGCCGGGACACTTCCCGGCGTCTTTGCAGGTTTTCGGGGCTCGAGCGAAGAAGGATCAGGAAAGGCCGGTCGAGAGTGCAATAGCACATCAAATACTATCCTCAATTTCACAACATACCGTATCATAATATAAATTTGTTGCAATTCTAAATATATATATTATTTTCATATTACTAATTACATGATTACAAGTCATAATAAATAAAGTTGATATAACATAACTATATAAAATTTACATGAAATAATAACACCACATGTAAAATTACTCAAATGGCTAACAAAGAAACAATTTTATTTGAAAATCTTTGTAACTAATTGAAACATAAATTACTTACAAGTTTACAACTGACATCATACGCATAAGTAAAGATCAAACTTAATCATATTTCCCCAAATAATCTTACAAATCGAGACAACAAACTAATATTGGAACTAAGACTCATAAACACGACAATCAACATGACATTGTAAGCTACACAAAAGCAAAGATCAAATTTAATCATGTTTCCCCTAACAAATCTTATCAATCGAGACGACAAACTAAAATTGAAACACGACTCATAAACACGACACTATCTTCGGCTTTAATTCGAAAACCTACCCGGCCCATTCGACCCCAATATATGTTGCCTCAAAATTCAAATTTTACAGCCTTTATGAACGGAGAACATCTCCCGCTATTTCGACTTATATTTATCATTGTCGTTCAAATATGATCATATCAAATTTATATATGTTATCTAGTGTAATAGGTAATTTGAAATTTATTTTTTTATAATGCAATCCAATAATTTTTTTTTAAAAAAAAAATATTATCCAACACATCGTTCACCAATTAGCGAAACCTAAGTCCATACCTCCATTCACAACAAATTAAAACTTAAAAGTCATGTCTTAAACAGTTAAAATTGCAAAGTTATTCTTAAAGTGCATTTAAAGTAAGGATTGCGATTTATTTAGTAATTTGGCCAAAATAATGGACTCCCTTTTTAAGATGATTTTCTATCGTTGAACTATTTTATTATTTGCAATAATGCTAAGAAACCAACTGCGGAGCCAACAACTAATGGTTTTAAAGTCATGTTTTAAACAGTTAAAATTGCAAAGTTGTTCTTAAAGTGCATTTAAAGTAAGGATTGCGATTTATTTAGTAATTTGGCCAAAATAAGGGACTTCCTTTTAAGATGGTAATTTTCTATCGTTGAACTATTTTATTATTTGTATGGAAATACTAGATTTTATTACAATTGATGATCATTTAATGTGTTTGCTACACTTTTTGAGAACTTTGCATAAACACGACATTCAAAAATAAAGCTATACATAAACTATTTATAAATGAATCATAACCAAAAAAACAACATAAACGAATAACAAAACTAAACCACAAACCAACTAATATAAACAAAACAATAATTTGCAATAAAAAATAACTTCATAAATTTATAAATAGAATAAGGTGAACAACATATTTTTTTTCTAGGTCTGGGACCAGTCCATTTCTTCCAATATTTTTAAAGAACCGGATCCAGAGCCAGAAAACATATAACTAGTTCAATTAACACAGTCGAATTTTGCAAGAACATAGATGAACTGAACTGTATTACAACAGTTTTGTTAATCTGATTCCTTCGTTAACCAAGTTACAAAAAATAATCAGTAATATTGGGTTATAAACGAATTAATGACACCGCCTAACCTTCTCTTTAAACAGTTTACATTAAAACTCTCACTCCCTATTTAGACAATGTTACTCTTTTTTTTTACAATTATACCCTTTGAAATGACAGACTTATCTTTTAAATTGGGCAGTTTTCATTTGTTTTATTTTCTTAAGCGGCACGACTTTTTAGTATCTGACAGTTATTCTTCTTTTCGTCAGAGCTTCCAATTTTCTTCTTCTTATTTTCTTACATTTCAATGGTGCTAATCCGATCTGCAGAAAAAAAGAAAATAAAAAAAATCCATTCAAATGGATCAGTCCAAGAAAATAAAAAAAATCTATCAAAACCTGTCCATTTGAATAATAATTAGAATAGATAGATATGTGCTGAACTAAATTCATTTGACATGTACTAAACTAAATTTATAGAAACACTTCTTCTCTTTTCTTACTAGAATAATTTGAGATGTAGATTGTTGATGTGGTAAGCACAATTCTGTGACACTAAAATTTCTCAAAATTGTTATTGTTTCCTTTATGTTGCTTATGTTGTTGTAATATTATTTTGTTGTTTATTTTACGTTGCTTTATAATTAAATGAATTCATGTTATGTATTTTTATAATTAATTGACTAATTCTTTTTTCTTTTTTTTTTAGATATTAATGTTTGAAGAAGAAGGAAAAAGTTGAAGATAGAAAAAAAAAACGTGAAAGGAGAATAAAAAAGAGGAAGAGAGAGAAAGAGGAAGAAAAAAGAAGAAGAGAGAGAAAAAAGAGAGAGAGAAATTGTCGTCTATCTGTTTTTTTGCTCAAACGATTCACAATTTTGTATTTTTTAATTTCTTTTTGTGTTTTCCTAAATTTGTTCAATTTTGGAGTATATTTGGTATTGTGTATGAGTAATAACTGTTGTGAAATCTAAGTCTTAAGGAGGGGTAGTTATAAAATTTCCCCGTTATAAACCAGTTAAAAAAGTGCAATTCCATATAAAAATATAAAAGAACCCCAAAACCGTAACATAAAAATGATGAACCAAATAATATAAACCAAGAAACGAAACCGATTAGTGAATATAAAACAAATGCATATTGTGCATATGTAATCGGTTTATCGACTAATACATGTACATTCACAGTAAGAACCATGAGCCGAAACTGTTTTGCGCAAAAGATAACCGAAAATAATTATTTTAAAATATCCGAACCGAACCAGTTGCTTTTAGTTCGTTCCATCTATGTCCCGGTTATCAAGTCTAAAATCCCAACACTTTTTTTTTTTTTTTTTTCATGAAAGTCTTGCCTATTCGAGGCTTTGAGTAGCATAAATGTGTGGCCCATTAAATCAACTATACCCTAGGATCCGATAAGGAAAAGGCCCAATAGATTACGTCAAGGCTCAACCCAACTCAAAAAATTGTTGGGAACCCCATTTTAAGTTGAAAACTTGAAAATTTGAACTGCAATTTGTGCACTCATCCAAATCTCACTCTGCGATAATTTTGTTTGATTCCCGCCATGAACGGCACTTGTTTGAGCTTCGATAACCCGATCCGAGACGCCATTTCCCGGATCCGGTTTGCTCCCGCCTCGAACAATCTCCTCATTTCCTCATGGGACTCGGTAAGTACTGCCACTGCTAACTAACTTACTCTAGAAACCATTTGTTTGCAGCTCCTGATTTGTTTGCAGGTTCTTCGGCTTTACGATGTGGATGAATCCGAGGTCCGACTGGAAAATCCGACGATCGGAGGCGCAGCCCTTCTCGATTGTTGTTTCGAGAGTGAGTCGGTGGCTCTAACGGCTAATTCCGATGGTTCAGTTGTCAGGTTATGGGATTTTCAGTTATTGTCATTTGCTATTTTGTTTCTATACGTTTTTTGATGTTTGCTATGGTTAAAGCTGCTTAGTAATTTCAGTTCTGGGTGACAGGTAAAGATTGACCAAGCTGTAGCTTCTTTTTCACAATCTTTCATATGTATTTGTCAGATCATTGATTTACTTTTGGTATGATAATGCTCTAATTAGTGAGACATTTGATTTGAAATTTCGATAGGTATGATATGCGATTGGAAAACAACAATGCAATAGGAAAACATGAAGACGCAGCAAACTGTGTTGAGTACTCTGAGGAAACAGGTAAGATAAGGATAACACCGAATATCACTTATGATTTGTACAAAATTTATGTCACCTGTTGCTATTGTGTCTGTTGGCTCAACAATTTGTGGTCTTAAGCACATTGGTGACCTTCTTCATAAATTATCTAGTCTTATCTATTTATTTGATAATCAATAGGTGAATGATTTAAGCTTCTGGGGGTTTGTGATACTAAAAAATTCAATAAAGGGGTTTTTTTATTTTTTTTATAAAAAAACATTTTTTAAGATGGAAAAAAAAAAGAAAGAAAAATAGCATAAATTTGTAATTTATGTGAAATCAACAAGATATTGGTTTTGTACTCTATTTACAAACATGAAAAAAAATTTACTAGACTATTTTTTTGTCTGCAGGTCAAATTATTACTTCTGGTTGGGATAACAGCATAAAGTTTTGGGATGCACGGTCTGGCAGTTCTGCAGGATGTTTGAGTAATCTTGTTGCGGGAGTCGAATCTATGTCACTTTCTGTTTTCAATTTGATGGTTGCTCTCAAGTCTTCAGTGCATATGTATGACTTGCGTTACTTAGATAGGGAGGTGCGGGTTAAAGAACCTTTCACAGGCATCCATGTAAAATGTGTCCGCTCAAGTTCAAATTTAGGAGGTACTGTAGTTTTAGCTTATTTATCTCAAATATTTGATGTTTGTTTCTCACATATTTTGTGTTTTCAATAAATGAACAATATTTACACCATCTATTTATTTTTGTCATGGATAGACATTTTAAAAGTGCTGTTAGGAAAAGCCCTTTGTATCCTTTGTTATAATCTCCGACACAATCACAGTTATCCTACCTACCTGTGCAGGATTTATGACTGGATCTATAGATGGGAGGGTTGCGTTGGAATATTTCGGTGATTCCAGCTCTGAGAAAGATGGGTCAGTATGAGTTATTATCTCCACTTTTTGTAATGTTTACCTGTATGCATTAGGACTACTCCTTTTACTGACAACAGACATATGTTTTTTCATGATAACCCTTGGTTGAAATTCAGTAATAGGAAAATACGAACTTTAGAAATTCAAATTTTCAATTATGATCCTGCACAAAGCATTGAACATCTTGTTTCCATCTAAGATCCTCACTTTTATTCCCATCTTCCTAAGGGAAACAATGCAGTAAATTTAGGTGTGTCTCTACATGTCGATGCTACAGTGTCCGTATGCCTACAAATCTATGTATACGGACAAGTTCCTTTTAAATTATTTGAAGTACTCTCTTCCCCTCTGAATTATTGAGTTGCACTCAGAATTTGGTCTCATTTATTCTCAACAATGAAGGGTTTGAAAATAATGCCTTACATATTAAAATGGATAAGACTTGGAAATCATTTGACTTCCTTATAGTTCAGTATCTCCAGCACCTTAGATGCTTTTCACTTATCTTGGAGTTATGCAGATATGCATTCAAATGCCATCCAAAGAGCACAGATGGAAGATATCATCTGGTAGCTGTAAATGATATTGCTTTCAATCCAGTGTATGTTTCACAATCACTTCTAGCTTACTATATTGGATTTTAAGAAACAATTGACCACCTTTTTTTTCCTTTACTTTTCAGCTTATGCGGTGTCCTCATTACTGGTGACAATGAGGGTCATGCTATAATGTGGGATGTTCAGAGCAGGAGACGCTTAACGGAGGTATAATTGATCTTAACTGGAATTTATAAAGCTGTATATTAAAATTCTTAATGGATGCAATTTGTTAGTGAGTAACAAAATTGTGTGTTCATTTGAATTTGGACCTTGGTGAAGGGGAATGAATCGGATCAAAATTTTTAAGTGTCAAATAGACGAACTTTTCTTATGGATTTATATCAAAATCAGCCAGCAAGATAATCCGAGATTATTTGTTTGCTGGTCTAACTATTCCCTGAATAGCTTATTGTCAAAATTATGCATGCTCTATGAAGGATTTCGCAATGTCTCTACACATGATTTCTTTTGAGAAAATTTTTGTTGTTTTGAATTACCAGCATTGATCTGTATCATAAGCTCATTTGTCTTTTGTATTTCTTTGTTTTATATTTAATTTGGTTTTTCTGGTTTCTTATTGAATTTCTGACTGGTATGTTCAGTTACCAAGACATCCCAGTTCTGTTGCTTCACTGGCTTATAATCATGATGGACAGCTTTTGGCAGTTGCATCAAGTTATACTTACCAGGAAGCTAATGAAAGGTTACTTGGCTTGCCTTACACATTTGAGTTTCTTTAGGCCTTGCAGGTTTCATTAGTTCAAGTTAATTGAAAAA